CCACACACACACACATACACACACTCACACACGCGCACACACATGCACCTACACGAAGGCTTACAATAACATGCATAATATAAATAAGCAGCAATATAAACAATAATAATAGTAAACTAGATACACACTCAATGTTATTTTTGATGCATGCTCTAAGGTCGTAAGAATACTTATAAATACAAGATGGTTAAGTAAGAATGACCTTCTATATCTTTCTTTGTTACAGCTCAGAAGCCTAGGTCTTTTACTTCTGACTGATGTTTTTATTTGAGGGAACAAGGGATGTTTGTTGTCTAAAAAGATGGAATTAATTTTTTTAGTTCAAGCTGTTATGTACAATTAATTCATACAAGTAGGGGAATGTAGATGTTGAAATTTTACATGCTTTCCCTTCTATTAGTCTTTAAAATTTTTCTTTATCTTGTTGTCTTGTGTTCCCGGCCCATGCTGTTATACAAAAATTGTCAATACATTTTACGTAACCTACAAATATCGGCACCAAAATCAGGACAGAGGGAAAAAAAACAACTGTTTAAGGGCCCACATGTCCGACCAGCAGCATACCAAAAGCAAGAGCTGAAGCACATTTCGAACCACTATGCACAATTAATCAGAAACACGAATTTGCATGCCGTATGTTTATTATTGCTGTCTGCCTTTTAAAGTTTCAGACAAAGAAGCAGACATTAAAAAATCTGTCTTAAAAAGGAACTTATTCTACTTTTTTAAAGGCGAACCCCAAACCCTGCCTTCAAATGTTGCAGAATGCCCAGAATGATATGAGCGTCATCAAAGAGTTAACGATTCTCCACGTTCAAAACAAGAACAGCTCGTCCCCATAAATAATGCTAATGACAAGCAGTGCAACGATTAACTCTCTCCCACGTAGATCTAGCTCTGACGTTTGGCGTAATGAGTATGCCGTCACAAAATCTGCGCTTCGGCTGATCCCGACAGGCACGCATGCCAAGGAGGTTATTAATTGTTTTATTGTAAGGCTCTTGATGCATACACTCTCTCAAAAAACAATTCTCCATCGCCGTGTCGGGATGTGATTAAGCATTCACTTTCATTCGTGGACAGCTTTCAGATCATGAATGGCTATTGACAGACACCTTGTTAGGATGTGTGTCGGTTACTTTTCATGTTGATGATTTATTAATCGTGTGAAAGACTGATTCAGTAGTGAAAGTTACAAAAGGGAGCCCAAAAAAACTAAAAGAAGAAGAAAAAAAGAAAAGAACTGGAGTGGCATCTCAAGCAGTTTTACCTGTACGCATGTGGCTCTTTTTTCAGCAGTTGCCCCCAGAACCTTAGAAATATGAAAGGAAAACAGTGGTGTTAGATATAATTATTTCTACTAAAGTTTGAGGAGGGAAAAACGGTGCCAAGTGATTTTAAAAGTAAAAAAAACAAAA